ATTGAAAATGGTGAGGTTTTATAGTTGAGGCAATAACAATGTTGGCCAGCTAGGGATAGGCAAATGTGAGAACCAAACACTGCCATGTCAAATTAATACACTGAGTGGCATTGTAATAGATAATTATTGGTTGTGTTCAGCAAAGAAAGCAGCTTTGTAACTGTTGCAAAATTCATTATAATTGGTTTATACATTTAGATTTACAAGGACCCAAAAGTAAGAACTATCGTATTCAAGAATTTTACAACAATTGCAAAGCTGCTTTTTCTGTTAAACGCAGCCATTGTCTTGATAAAATTTTAAAAGAAGAACGAAAGACGAACAGCAAATCGAGATTACTGAGCAATCGGTATTGTTTCAGTCAAGGTGATTTATCGATTACACGCTAGCGCTTACGAATGAAGAAGACTTATCTGGAGTGGATATCGTTACAACCAGTTAGCAATCTGCGACAAGCAGATCTCTTATAATAAACCAAACTTAGTAAATTTATACTAATTGTCATCATAAAAGAGTTAATAGAAAAAAAGAAGATTGAAGATTTTGATGATTTATCATTAGGTCGAATATCAAATGAGAAGAGTGTCCACATTGCTGTACGTAAAAAATTCATAAGCATCGCTGTTGGTCAAGATGGGCGTGTTTATGTGTGGGGTAAACTGTCGCAATATGTGCATTACGAATCCATGTGCGTCACATCATTCTCGAATGTGTACAATGCTCTTGCGTGTTATGTATCAGCGAGTGTTATGCATGAACTGCTGATCCTGTCACTCAAAGAGTTGAATACATATTGAAATCTCAGACTTGTATTCAACGATTCTTTATTTTTTTGTCGTATTTATTTATTTTGCTTGCATATTTTCGCATTTTCGCCATTTCAATAATGAAATGGCAATGTTCAGAGGTTTGTCATAACGCCTATATTCGTAGTCAGGCCTTATATTTAAAGCTTCCTTAAATTTATCTTCAAATGCTCTATGAATTATTTCATTGGCTACTGAGCCTCTTAAGATAAATTTAAAGAAGCCTTGAGTACAAGGTCTGACTATGTAATACGGGCATAAGTTGCTCAGTGAACAATCATTCTTTAGGAGGGTCCTAAAATCTCGTCTTAATAAAGTTTATCGATTCAATAAAATTTAAACACATATTGTGTGCCATTGGATGCAGTCCATTTGACGCTACAAATGCTTCAAAATTTTTGATTAATTAATCAGAAGAAAGAATTTTATTAACTGACCAATCAAAAAATGCTTTGAAGCATTCGTAGCATCAAATGGACCGAACCATTTCTTGTTTCCAAACCTGAAGAAATGGTTCGGGGGAAAGAGATTCACCACCAGAGAGCAGCTCATCGCCGAAACAGAGGCTTATTTTGAAGGGGACAAATCATATACTTGGACGGCTTGAAAAAGTTAGAGAATCGTTGAATCAAGTGTATCGAGCTGAAAGGAGACTATGTTGACTATGAGAAATGAATCTATCAAAAAAATATGTTTTACTATGTTTTTCTAAAAACTTATTGACTTGTCCTCGTATTTTTAATAAAAGTGTGTCTAGGTGTTTAGTAATACGAGTATTCGTATGTGCAAGTGATAATACAAATACAATTTTTACGATAAAATAAAAAATTATTTTGAATTTATGTCTACGGAAGCAGTCATAACTTGATGAAAATAAATAATACGGTCATGTTCTAGAATTTATTTAAAAATTCTTGAATTGTACTTTTAGATTCGATAGACTTTATTTAGAAACAAGATTTTGTTTTGCTGTAAAATATTGAAAACAGTAAAAAATGTCATTTCATCTGAATTGAACTCAAAATCTTGACGTGTACTACTCGAATCTTACCAATGACATTGCGTTCATCAAGAAAATATCTTTGGAATATGGTATGTACTTCGGAGAGAAAGAAAAGTGATTTTTGAACAATGTAATGAACGTATGCAAACGACTGATAACGATAAACATGCAAGATAACGAAATCAGTACAATGCACTACTTCTTTACACACTAAAGGAATTTTTTGCACTAAAGGGGGTCTTTATAAACTAATTTCTTAATTAATCACAATTCGACATTAGAATTGGTTTCTTTGCAAGATATTTTAAAAATTCAATCATTATTTATATTGATATGATTCCAATGTTATCCTAAATATTAAATCTTGCATGCTGATTCAACAATTCCGTAAAAGAGTTGTACAATTACTACTTAATAAATAAATTAATTAAAGCAAAGTACACTTTTTCGAACTAGAAAGAAATTTTTTCTCTTTCTAGAAGGAACCTAATTGGGTCAGTGGACTCACAAACAGAGTTGGAAAGTAATGCGTTATTTGTAACGTTGTTACTTTCTTCGGTAACGATCATGAGTTGGTAGTCGAAAATCTTAAGTCTTAACCAGTTTTAACCTAATATAGTGATTATGATTTTTTACATACTAATTGTTAATTGTACAGAGTCGTTTAATCAGACTAATGGGAAGGAATAAAATCGAATTTGGTCAGTCCTAAGAAAATCGGGAATCTTAGTCGTATAAGTTGGTTATTGGCCAATTCCATCGATTCACCGATAAGACTTAGGATTACCGATTATCGATTCATTGTAGAATCAGCTTAACACATTATTATTTATGTAATTATAATTTATATAATATTTGTGTAATATGGATTCAAATGTTGTTAAAGGAGCAATTAAAAAACAGCATGATAGAAAATTTCAAAATTCGTGATTAGATGAGAACATTTTTAAAGATAGTTGACTCCCCATTCTAATTTAAATAAAGCTTTTTGCAGTATATATAATTCCAGCTTTAAATATTCTAGAACAGATATTATACGAAGCATTCGCAAACGGCTAAACATATAGATAAAATAAAAAATCAAAATCAAAACCTCGATAACGTCGTTAGTAACGTTTCTCATGATGATAAAATGAAACGAAAGAGAAATAAAACTATCCGCCTTTTTTGCCGAACATAATATTGTTTTACACGGCATTTGATACCTTTATTAAAAGACATTCGTTCGACTTAAAATTTTATAAAATTTGTCATTGGGTCGACTTAAGTGCAGCAATATTGTAGAAGATGTTTTGGCAAAACGTGAAACAAAAAAGCTAATTAGAAATTTAAAAACATGTAAATTTTCGATTTCAATTCAGATAAACGCACGGATATTACAGATATGAAATTTATGTGCCTGCTCGTACGATATGTTTGCCCTAATAATGAGAAAATAAAAACGCAATTGCTGGAGTTATTAGCATTAGATGCAAGAGATTGTAGCGCGAAAAAAATTTTGTTAACCTTTAAAGAATTTTTTTCTGTAAATGGAATGGAATTCCTTTAACAAATATCACTGGAATGGCAAGCGATAATGCATCGGTTATGATTGGATGTAATAATTCCTTCTTTTCTAGTTTAAAATCTGAAATTCCTGATTTAATAATGTTAAATTGTATTTGCCATTCTCTCGCGTTAATTGCATGTAAAGCCTGCGAAAAATTATCGCAAAGTTGTGAAAATTTGTGAAAAGAACAATTATTTATTAATGATAAATTTCTTTTTATACATATAGAAATTCAATTTCGATCTTGTATTTAATTAATCTTGTATTTAACGTATATGTACAGAACAGTAACGCAGCCCAATAATTCTGATTGGTTGACTCCCTATTACTTTTCCGAGATTACATTTTCCGAAAATCCGACTGTCATGGGACACCACTCTTATTGTGATTCTTTAATATGATTGATTCCTATACTTAGATCCAACAAAAAGTTGAAGGCAAAAATTAATCATATTAAAGAATCACTTAGTATTAATTGATTAGAATTTTCTCTACTGAACGCAGTCACTGTGGTTCCTATATACTTAAATTGAGCAAAAAACTAAAGACGAGAGCCAATCACATTAAAGAATCGGATAAAGTTTTGAAAGGGTAAACCTCCCGATTTTGTGTGCCATGGAATGGCACCTTAAATCGTTAATACATGGAATTTATATAATATTTATATGAAGTGAAAATCTAGAATAAGTGGATAAACGCAGAAGGATCGATTGCTATGAACAGGATTTCCTAATATATTGTTCTTGTACTCTACATATACGCTATCTGGATTTCCGAATTATTTTCGGAATTTATTAATAATAGATTTCCAAGTGGAAATAACTTTTATTATGCAATACATTAAATAAATTAAACATATTAAAAATGAAAATCCTGGTTTGAACCATTAGTATGTATTTCCAAACAAAAAGATATAATGTAATAGTAAATTCCGGATAAATTCTTAATTACTTGAAATTACAGACATACAAAATAGATTTTTAAGTGAAAATCCCACCAAAGCCCAAAAATTAGTAACCTAAATATAACCATATTTGATTTTAGTATGCCTCAAATTTAATTTTAGTAGTCCTATTTATACAAATATGATCAAGTACATTTTATGTCCGGACATTCCTGGAATTTAGTGCAGGACTTGCTCGATTTCTGTTGCCAACCTGCTGTCAAGTTATGTCAACAGATTCTGGTTCGCAATCAGCAAGTTCTGCTTAATTTCTGCTGCCAGTTTATTTGCATAGAATATTAACAGTTCTGTCAGCAGAAGTAGATTGTGACATCAGTCTTCTAATCAAATCTGCTACCAATGTGTCGGCATCCTGCTAATATTTTGTTATCTGGATATATAATGCTCGACCACTTGATGTGGCAGTTCGATGAGAATTTTCTCAAGAATTTGTATGAAGAAATACTCTATTGAATCTTAAAATTCATGTAACAATTGTATATCTTATCATTTTCAGTAATCACTATTTATTAATTATTTATTTTTTATTTACAACATTCAACAGTATTTCAACATGATTTATTTAAAATAATTTATTCACAACCTAAATTAATTTTTTTGCTTTTGTATTTGTTAATTATTTACTCATTTTTTAATAATTTTTTAATTAATTAAATAACATATGCAATAATGGTTTCGATTATGAGAGTAAATCGTTTTCACAGAACAGTCCATTATATTCTTTTTTCCTCTAAACTAAGAAATATATTATTCTAAATAACCAGATCTACTAATTTCTGATGACAAAAAGGTATACCCTTTATCTGTTAACATAGCCTTTGTTTCGACATCCAATTCTTCAAATCCGTCTGTCCGGATTACAGCCGCCATGTTTTTAAAATAGAAGTTGAAGCAATATTTCATCAATTCCTAAAAAAATAGAAGCTACATATATAAGTGAATTTAAACATGTAGGATAGAGCGGGGCTAGTTGCGCATAAGGGCAAGTTGATTCAATGCAAATATCTAAATAACCAAAATATATATAGATACGTCTATGCTTGCGTAAGTAGCACAAAGACAGAGATTACTGTGCCTTAATACAATAATCTGTATCTGACTGTCAATAGCCAAATACGTGCGCTTTTTCATTTTCGTATACCAAAATAAAATTATTAGATGAGTACTCTTTTTGGTCCACGTGATAATTAAAGCTATTTATAACAATCAAATGTGTTTTTGGAAGATATTATCGTATTTTTTAACTTTAATATTCAAGTTGTTGTTTTATTTACGGTTTTTCAGTTATAAATAAGTATTTCAGCAATATGAGGTTTGTTGGACTCAGTATCCATAACGAACCTTATAAACTCAACTGCTCAAATGAAATCTATCTTTATCGATACTTTTTATTCTATTTTAATAATTAAATATATATTTTACGTTTAATTATTATTATAAAGAATAAAGATGTTCTAATTTTAATCTAATAAGCATTTAAAAAGAGAGAGTATTACAAATTATTACACCATTAATAAAAATTTGATTAATGTTTGATAAATTTGATATTTATTTTATTTGATTAAATATAATGAATAAATATTTTATTTGATTTGATTAAAATTTGATATTTATTTTAAATATGAAATCAAAAGATTATATAATATCGAGTTTGGATACAATCAATGCATCATTATCGGATAAGATAAATGAAACGATAAACAATTAAACTGCTGAAAACGATTTATCGAAATATTAATTACGTGATCAATGATATGTTTATGCCTGATGTGAACGCCTGAATAAATCAGCACCCTAACTTTATTGATAAATTTCAATAAATTTCATACCGTCATTTTTTAATCGATTTCAATTGACTCGGAATGATTTCGAATTAAAAAGAATCACTGCGATTAACTTAATCCGTGATTAACTTATCAAGCGACGGCATATATTAATGTAGATAATATTTGTAGTTTGTTCACACACATACATGTGCTTTATCCTTACGAATAAATTTATCCTTCAGAATTAATACTATATTTATTGCAATATTTAATGGTTTTATCATAAAAAATTGCTTTTGTGCATATCACTAGAAATGCGATTTGTAATAAAATTAAAGTTAGTGAGGTATATGTCTAGAAACAGTTTTCATTTTAGAGTCTTCGTAAAAAATTTATCCAAATACATTACATTGCAATATTGTTAGAACGTTTTGTTGCAATATAATAAACAGCGGACATCTTAACATTGTTGGAATTTTGCAACAATGAATCAGCAACGGTTTGCAACCATCATGCAATATTGCAATATTTTATTGAAATCATTCTGCAATGTTTCTGCAATCTTTCTGTGCTGTATGGGACCCTATTGCCCCCTTGCAAGGCAGCACGCCTTCGCTGGCTTCATTATCACGGTGGATCAGAAAACGAATCATTCTACACGGGGCTATAGTTCGGGGCAGTTATCATCGTCTCCAATAGCCTCCATAGCAGCAGGTACTTGTAGGTATTTTCACTTATGTATCACTATATTTACACGTAATTCTCATCTCGGGAAACATATGGTTTAGATTTAATCAAAAGTTTTTTGTCTTATGACCTTAGAATATATCAATAAAAGCAGAGATTTGGAGGTTTTTGACCTATTTTTTCGTTCTAGATTGAAAATTTACCCTATGGGTGATCCTATTTTTGTTCAGTCGGATTCATATTCAGCTACTCAAAATACATAAGAATAGCTGGGTCTTTATCAGCACATGGTACTTTTTTTTCTGTGGGCCCGTGATATCAAATACAGGAAAATATAGGAAACCTTTCAATTGAAAATGAAATAAAAAATGAAAGGCTATATAGATTTTGATAATATAATTGATAATTTTGCATTTATCAAAATACGAAAAATATTATTGCGATTTTAATAACTGTTTAATTTGTAACATACATGTAAATTTTATAGCATATAACTCTTTTTCTATACACGTGATTATTTCAAATTAATATTAATATATATTAAGTAATATATATGTATATATTATTAATTACTATTAATTAATATTTCTTATTACACAGTACGACAAAAATCGATTTTTTTCCTCTCATGAAAAAAATCAAAGAGATTCTGAAAGTAGATATAAAAAAAAGTACCCCTGTCTTCGGCTTTTCATGCAATGAAAGTTAATATGTCGCTCAAAATACACTTTCTTCACAATTATTTGGAATTTTGTCCATCAAATTTGGCGAATTCACAATGATGAACGTTTTCAGGATACTGAGAAACGCTTCAAAGGAAAAGACACATGCTTGATGAATACTGTTGGTCTATTATTCGTGATACAAAACCGAAATCATATAAATGACAAATCAAATGACCAAGATTCTCATAATAATTATAATTATAATTGTATTATTATTATTATACAAAAATTTGAAAATGTATGAAAAAAAATAATTCTCAGTTATTTTTTTTATATTCGGACTCATCGCATAATTTTACATGCAAAAACGTCAATTATTTACTTAAAAAAATTATTATATAATTTTAAACAATTGTAAAAACCCAATATAAAGCAAATAAATAAATAAATTACTATAAAAACATTAACGACTGATCTAGTAAAACGCCGAGGCACGGATATTTTTTTTTGTTACATCTATTAGGTGTTGGAATTAATTCGTAGCGTTTTTTAATGAAAGAATGTTATTTATTTCACATGAGCATTAAAAAATACATTAATGAAAGTACTTCCCATCACTTGTAAAACGCTACGAATTAATTCCAACACCTAATACTTTCAGAATCTCTCCGATTTTTTCGGGAGGAAATATGTGTTGTATTTATATACTGTGTTATATTTCACATGTCATAAAGAAATATTTTTTACTGAAGAGCGCATTTTTTTATTTTGCCTCGGGTGCCGAAATGCCTAGTGTCGGCTTTGAGCTTCAGTATGGAATATACATTTGTTTATAAAGTAAAAGATTCGCGTCTAGGAATTTTAAAGGGAATAATATTTTACTAGGACACAAAAAAGAAAAATGGAAAACATATCCCAATTGGATTAATATGTTAATCCCATTATAAATTCTGCAATATTTTTGTCTTACAATAGAAAAAAAATCCATAATAAAAACAAAAAATCAATTACCTCCTTGTGATGTCGTTCGTTCATATCGTTGATAAGGTTAAAAAGATACGTGACGTTCGATACGTTAATTGTTTTTTTTATTTTTCTTATACAATCCGTCTGGAGATTTTTCTCGCATAATGCATCTGCCAATTGCAAAAGATCTGCAACAAAGAGATATTTTAGTCGCGAATTACATATGTAATATTCGACACGTTTAACTCAAACTCACCTAATAGGTTTTTAAAAGATGATACATTGATCCTACTAGTATATAAATATTCTAAAAATTTTTTATAAATGACATACCTATAATAATTATTCACGATGACACTGTCAAGAAAAACATATTAAAATATTCAATATACAAACAAATCAAACAAAAAAGGTTTTTTTTAATGTACTTTTTTTTGTAAAAACGTACCTTTGTCTATTTTCAACATCATTACATTGGAACATAGTTCTAAAATATGTGGAACGAATCTTCAGGATAACTTTGTGAACATAAATTGATTGTTTTTCGACCATTATCGTGAGATCACTTGTTGACTTTAGACAGAAAACACGAATTAGTTATTAAAGTTGAACATGTGTATTATATAATCACCAAATCTGTTTTGTTACGCAATGGAAAAATGTAATAAAAAGAAAGATCTAAAATTTAACCCTCAGTATCTATAAAGGGCGTAACCCCTTCGATAGATCAGACGTTTTTTTTCCGATCCCTTTTCACTTATTGCAAAATATCTTTTATGCTATGACATTTTAGAATTTCTAACTCAAAAATTCTTTTTCTTAGTCTTCAAACAATAGATTAAAAAAAAATTAATTAAAATCGATGCACTACAATCTGAGATATAAACAAAGGAAAATGCTAGGTTACAAATATCCTTATCGATAGATAAGGACTTCTTTGAAATGTTCTGATGATTAAGATATCAGATCACGAAACGAGAGGTGTTATTGAAAAATACGCTAAGACTTTACCAAGGAGATAAAATAGAACAATGATAATCAGTATAATAAATTTCAGATTGTAAGCATTTTCAATTAATGGCTTGCTTGCGGTTTTTAACACGTCATCAGTTGAAAGAATTTGAAAATTTTTGACATCTTTTAAAGATTCAAAACTAAATTGTAAAAATAAATTGTATTGCAATTTTTATGGTACTTCATTGGAAATACTGAATTCGAGAAACATACAGAATAAAGTCTAACCTGATCGTTGAATGCAGTTTCCAAGTCATTTAATATGTGAAATTCTTCATTTATGAATTCACCGGCCACGGACACCGGTGAATGAGCTGTCATCGAGTTGGATATGTCAAACGCGTTCGTATATTCACAAACAGCTGGTTTTTTATAGTTTCTGCGAAAAATGAAACCCCATGCGTACACAAGTCCATCCTTGCTAGACTTGACAAAATTAGTGTAATCAATGACGGCGATGTCTGATAGGTTTCGTACATTAATTATATCCACCTGCAGATCGAAAAATTTTTTGGTTTAGTTTATGCTTTCTTACTCTTTTCCGATTTGTCATAATACAATTACAGAAACAAATCATTTACCGGGTGCGGATAGATTACATCATAGTATGTGTCATAATCGGTGCAAGTTTTGAAAAAGTAACCTCCCCAGCCGTAGAGTTTCCCTTGATCAGTTAGAGCAAGTGTGTAATCAATCCCACAAGCTATCTTGACTAAACATGAAGATAGATTAGGTTACTCTACAATACTCTACAATACTTGCAGCCATAAATTCTTCATGTATACAGCTTTACATTTTTAGGAATATGTTTTTAAGAAAATTACCAATTGTTTTGAATGCAAATGTGGATATTTTATGTGGCTCAAATGTAAACCGTGGTTTAGTCCATTCCATCATCGCGTCATCACTATCAAAAGAATTCCCCATTTCACATATATAACCCCAAAAGAACATATGGCGGTTCGTAGCTACCACATAAAAATTAGATCCGCAACTCATGCATGTAATCTTCTCTTTGATATTCATTTCACGTATATTCATTTGATGTATACTGCATTGTTTTTCTTCATCTTTGATCGAATTTTGTGTGTAATATATCTACATTAAATAAATGTAATATATCTAAGTAAAGTTAATAATTATTATTACTAATATGTATTCATGATGATATCGTCGTAATACTTTACTTTGCCATCGTCAGTCAAAGCGAGAAAATTAATCTTGTTAGTTGCAGCTTTTACAATTCTTGTGTTGCTCCAATCAATCTTATGGGAAGTATAACATATGTAATGTGAGAGATTTTCATGATTTACCACAATTTCATTTTCAACCTCATTGTTTGTAGATTGAACTTTAAAGAATGTAATTTTTGGACTTATATCTTCCCATACATATTTCTTTTAAAAACATAATTGATTGATCATTTTATTCAGTTAAATTAATTATACAAGATGTTATTTTTTTTATATTGAAATCCTTGAATATTTCATTTTTCCTGAATAATACGAAGAAATTTTTCAAATGAAATTGGAACTGTTTCGAGAAGTACATATTTTGATTATATTTTTTTCTAGGTGGGAGCGCTAAAAAAATACGAAGATTGTTTCCATAAATACTACTGTAAATAAAATAACATGATTTTTTTACATAATATGATTCTTCTAATTATTCTACGTATAAAAACGTACAAAATCATGAGTGTCTCTATTAGTAACTTAAGCAAGACAGTTCACAGATTAGGAACTCATATTTGTATATTTTTTAAATTCTGCAAGACTGTAAGTTACAATATTAATATTGTTTCTTAATAATAATTGATATTTTTAAATTACATATTTTATTTAACAATAGGAACGTTTTAATTGCTTTATATGATATTTATTTAAAATATCAGTAATAAAGATAAACAAAATTTGAATACCGATTAGTGATGCATTAAAATTAAAACATATATTTTTGTGACGTTTTCAGTTATTATTCATAATGTTTTTAATATCTATTTAATTTTGGGTGCTTACTTTAATTTCCTTTTAATTTAATAATAGTTAGAATCATTCGACGAAAAGACCATGGATATAGTCGTTGCCTTACAAGATGTTAGAGCATCTGTTAGATTTGTCATGATTGATAAAATGTTTATAATATTTTAGCGTTTACAAAAGTATTTAATTTTATTCAAAATTCGTTGTAATAGATAATACAATAAGTAATAGATAATACATATACAATTTTGAATACTAACACAGTTTTTAGAATGAACACAATACCCATTGATCTATATTAATTGATTTATTAAGAAAAACAGTCACGATTGTCACTAAGTGGGGCATTTACTTAGCTAAGTAAATCTTCTTATTCTTACTTCATAAGACTAAATCTTAGAATTCTTTTAATATGTGGAATAAAGTATAAAATATCTGGCTTTGATGTATCTGCTTAATATTTTTATTTGTATATAGAACAATTATGCAATCATATTATATTTAAAAAAAATCATAATTTCATTTAAAATAATAAAGTTCTTTAAATCTTTATGGTACTTCTACCTAAAAAAAAATTAACGTCACCAAAACATACTTTCTTCTGGAAACTGCTCTTTCATTTTCATATGAAACGTGTGAAAAAAAAACAATTGAAATATTCAAAATTTTCAATTTCAGTGCATCGTCTTTTATATGGATTAGATTTAATTAGTTACATTGAATTTGTATAATAAAATAAAATAATGTAATACATATAACACCTTATAGAAATTTAATACAAATTGACAAATTAATCACTTATTTTTAGTATTGAAAGTGCTGTTAACAATACTTTTAAAACTTTATTCACTGTATGAATGTTCAATATACTGTATGAATGCTCAATATTCAAAATAAATGATTAATTGCGAACAGTGTTAAACTTCTATAAGGAGACTAGTATTAAATTTCTATAAGGGAAAGTAACCCAAAAATTAATAGAGAGTTGATCATACATTTAGTAAACTTACAAAATTGTTGTCATTACTATGAGCTTGTTCAATACATTAAATGTAAAAAAAAATAAATTTTAACCTCTTATAACTTTATATTGTAAAGCATTATGCACTTATTATATGCACATGATAAAAACAAATATATAAAAAAATAATGTATTAAATGTATTTAGCATGTATGTTAACGTTGTAAATATATAAAATATACTCAATTTTCCTTTATAGGATTATTGCTTTTATAAAGGATATATACATAGTTAATGATACATGTCATAAATTTTATTTTTTCCTAATAAAAACACTTTTATAAAAAGGTAAAATTTATTTTATAAAACAATTTGTCTTTTTTTCAATTTCATATATTTTATTTATTAAGAAATAAAAATTGTCATCTTCTTTTGCATTCTGTGTACTTTATACTGTGTATTCTATAATGTTATTTTTAAATGTCAAAAAAAATTCAGCGAAGATTCATTCTAGTAAAATATAAAATGGCAATTTTTTTTACGATATATAAGTTGTTCATGTACCTCAACGTCTTGAGTAACCAAAAAAACATCGCTATGATATATATTGACAACTAACATCTTAATTTTTTTTTTGAACATAATGTCCACTTTTGTCTGATGGTATTTTTTATTTATATAGCCAATACCATTCTTATAGGAGATGCACGATTGCAATGCAAGCCTTGGATAAAAATAATTACAATTGTTATTAAATATATATGGCAATATATTGTAAATACAAATAAATGATTAATTAGGAAAGTGATTAATTAATGTATCTCGTTTTGTGTGAAGAACAATAAATGATAGATGTCAGAATTTTAGTTTATTGTAAAAGTTGCAGATTGAGCTAAAATAAATGTGAAAAGAACGATAACTATTGCGTATGAAAGTATGTAAGAACTGTAAGAAATTAGAAAAAAAAATCTAAAATTTTTTAAGTATTCTTTTGAAATTTTTCAACTAAGGTATGGTTTTTGCTCAAGCTTTGTTGATCACGTTTTGTTGTATACCATGGCCATAAGATCCGATCGTATAATGATATACTTTTTGAAATTAATATTAACGATCGCGATTCTGTGTGCCATTTTACAAAGACACAAAACTGTTATTTTTTCTTGATATTATAAAATTAAGAAAAATAGAAGAAAGGAAGATTTCTCAAGAAATCTTATACGCTTTATCTATGCTCATACAGATGTAAAAAGTAATATAATAAATTTAAAATATTATAATAAATTTAAATTTAAATATAATAATTATCACATTACTTTTTTACTTCGCGACGAATGTTAATTGGCTATTACATTGCTTTTATCGTCTGCAAGTTCTCGATGCCTACGCGGACAATTGAATTAAAATCTTGGATCTTTTCATATTGCTTGTACTTCTTATTCTCAATCTTTGCGTTCTCTCTTTTCAACGCTCAAATGTGCGCATGTTCATCTTATTTTAAATACAAAAATTTTGGGGATTTCAATCAACACACAAACGAATGTCTTCTTGTACTTTTTTTAGTTTTCTGACTTTCGCAATCGCAGAATAAGCTCGGATCTACAATAGATTTTTAAACCTTAAGTCATAAGAAATGGACGAATCATAGTCAATTATTCCCCTTCCATTCGATTGTAACAGGTAAATTTCTTATGGCTTAAATCTTAAAATATCTATTGTAGATCCGGACGAAGAGTCTTTTCACATAAATTTTCATTGTCGTATAAAAAATATGCACAAAGAAGAATCTAATCATATTTATGTTATAAAGACATGTAACATGCCGTTGGATAAATCAACTAAAAATGAGTCTAATTCTGGATCATTAATATCAGTCTATTATTATTTCGAAATTATTCGTCGTATGTATATTTAAAAAAATAAGAAAAAAGAAACTTTAAACTTACCAATATTTGAAATTGATTATATCTATTTTTTGCTGTTTCTTTTTATTCTCTGTTATAAGATTTTCGTTAAATTTGAGCGAAGTAGACATGATAACAATCGATACGTTACACTAAATACAATTTGTAGAAATATTTGTTAAATATCTTTTTTAACAATATCCTATTTCACAAATGATGTGTACTGACGGTTGAAATCGGAGAAAAACGAACTCTTTCCTTGAAAATCAATATAAATTTATCTTCGTGTTATTGAGAGACCAGTATAAATATTATCTACTTAGGGTTTACATTCATGATGTTAGAATATGATTCGAGTTATTTATATTAGAAATTAGCTTTTATGACCTATACCAACTTTAAAATATTAAATCAGTGCTCTAAGTGTTGTGAGTGATTCTAATCGCTACGGGTCAAATGGAACATCCCTATTGTCACCGATTAAGATTAATAACTATTCCGCACAGGATGCTCTCCTGTTTGAAATTCTTCATCACGTTGCTGTGCATTTATATACAGGATCTATTCAAATCGACCATCTGAAATATCTCGCTTATTTTTGAATATATAAAAAAATGTTTCGAATGGAAATGGAACTGTTTCGAGAGGGTCGTATTTTGATCATATTCTTTTTTCTAGATGGAGGCGCGAAAAAGATATAAAAGTCACGTCCACTTTTTCAAATGGAATTGTATGATTTTTTTTACACAATATAATTCCTCTAATTATTTTATATATAAAGATATTAAGGTAGTGATATCAAAAAACCATTAATTTACGAGATATTTTACACTTTATTCTGGCACATATTGACAAAAAATGCTAAATAAATTTCTTTCCACCAACTTTCGTCTCATTATTCTGTTCATAAAAATATTACGGTATGATTATCAAAAAGTTAATAGTTTACGAATTATTAAAATTTTATGTCAATATGTATCAGAATAAAATGTAAAATATCTCGTAAACTGTTAATTCTTTTTATATCACTATCTCAATACTTTCATATGCTGAATAATTATAATTATAATTAGAGGAATAATTATAATTAAAGGAATCACATTGTATAAAAAAATGTCATACAATTCCATTTTAAAAAGTGGAGATGACCTTCATATCTTTTTGGCGTCTTCACTTAGAAAAGAATAACATGACCTAAATGCGCCTCGAAACCGTTTCACTTTCATTTAGAGATGAAAATGACCGAATTTGATAATAACTCGATAAATTATGCTACATTACTTAGTAATTTTTTGAGGCTTCAAATAATAATTTTCGAAAATTACATAGAAAAATAAAGTACAATAATTTGAGAGTATTTAGTCATTAAGTTACGCTTTGTTAAACTTTCATTTTGGTACTATATATTGATATAACAATTGGACAACCGACAACGTTTAAGTCAGGGATGCCAAATCAAGGACGATTTACAACGGGAATGCACTTGCATACACCACTCACATCGGCCTGTTCCTAGTAATTTTTCACTGCTACACCAATAAAATTATATTATTTTTAATTAGCCAATTAATGACGTGAACAATTGATATACACCCGTTTATAATATCGCGATCAACATCATCAGTCGGCGACCTAACGTGATAAGTAGTCACACACTTAAGGATTAGTCGTCTATGTGTCATACAGACATGTTTTGTTACGATTAAATAATATGTTTAGATGTAATCAATGGCCCTGTTATTCTATCAGCGATTTCTATTAGGGATATTAGAAGAATGTTGTTTTATTTTATACATAAGTACGAAAATATAGCATATATTTGTATAATACATAAAACTATAAAGACAAAAAATATAGCAAAATTTACCAATAAATTACCATTTTACCGCAATTTTATCATAAGTAATTGTAACATTGCATTTGACAGTATTTTTACAGCTCTACTTTTATTTGAAACATTTTTTTATATCATAATAAGCGAGATATTTCAGATGGTCGATTCAAGTGGATCACCCTGTATACCTACATAGAGTAAGGCCGAAATTACACCACTTTTTACTTAACTCATAATTCAGAAATTATGAAGTTAAGTTTTTTACAGCACTATAAACTGCTCCCTTTTCCCTTTTTTATGTAATTTTTTCATAATTTTTTGGCGCCATTATATTATAATATTTATAATGAGGATTCTTTTCAGTATGATACGATTTTGACAACGAGGAAATTTAGTGCACTGAAAGCAGCATTGCATCGAATATGAGAAATTCTTCAATTAGAGCTTGCATCAATATGCACGTTTACAAGAGATCATCCGAAGATGAGGAAGTACACAATTTTAAAGAATAAATATACACTCTCGTATCTTCACCCTCTCCCTCACACGTATACATACACAACACATAATTCGCAAAATCCGATCAGCAACCTCTCCGTGATGCTTATAGGGTAATATATGGTAATACTGGCGATAATTGAATAAAATGCATACGTAAGTTTGATGCATTGTACGAGGGCAAGTCAATAAGTTTTTAGAAAAACATAGTAAAACACATTTTTTTTTATCGATTCATTTTTATTTCTCGACATAGTTTCCTTTCAGCTCGATTATTAATCCAACGATTCTCCAACTTTTTCAAGCCGTCCGGATAATATGATTTGTCCAACCCTTCAAAATAAGCCTCTGTTTCGGCGATGAGCTGCTCTCTGGTGGTGAATCTCTTTCCTTCGAACCATTTCTTCAGATTTGGATACAGGAAATAGTCGCAGGGAACTAAATCTGGCGAATACATTGGATGCAATTCGTAGAGGAATTCGTTGAATTTGGCCATCGATGCCGGGCACGTGTGAACCCGTGCATTGCCTTAATGGTAGAGCACTTTCTTTCCATTTAGGATATTAATTAATTTAATAATAGCAGATTATACATTTATTTATATAATTATACATGTATATATATATATATTTATTGTATATATATATATATATATATATGTATAATACACATATATATATCTTTTGTATCCACATATAAAAAGTTATAATGACGCACGTATTTTATTATTATATAGGTACTTCTTTATAATCACTATCCTCCTTTTCTTTGTATTTTATTTTATATAGGTACTTCTTCACAATCACTATCCTTCTTTTCTTTAGGAGGATAAATTTAGAGGATAAATTTTTATGAATTTTACGTGGAATCAGTATACATTAAATTCCTTTTCCATTATAAAAATTATTCTTCTTTGTATCGGTCACTAACAACAAAGTACATTTGTTAAGGTACATTTATTAAATTTCATTAGATGAATTTTAATAAATTTTATAATCGCAGGTAACAATTAAAAGTGCATACGATTTATTTATTATTTCATTCCGTCAATACTACAGTAACGATTAATTCAATAAAATGTGTATTACCATACATACAATATATTTTCAATGCTTTCATATAATCCCGCATTATTAATTTTTTAATTATGCTACTATGTAATAATATCATTTCTATTGTATTTTGAACGGCATAATTGTATGACTAACTTCCTTAAATATACCAGAATTACTCGTTAATTGGATAAATTTTTCTTGTTATCTATATTCGCAGAATATATCTTGTTGATCAAACATGTCTTTCTGTCAATTATTGGGGCATTTCGTTTTTTATGTATAATATACTGTTTCTCCTTGTTGTTCATCGAATGTAAACAAAGATAAATGATACATCATGCGCA